TGCCATAGTCAAAACAAAAAAAATTCCTTCCAGTAGCACCTTAAAGACCAACTAAGTTAGTTCTTGGTATGAGCTTTCGTGTGCATGCACACGAAAGCTCATACCAAGAACTAACTTAGTTGGTCTTTAAGGTGCTACTGGAAGGAATTTTTTTTGCTCCTTCATGGAGAGCACGTGTTGCGGTGGGGTCTGCTGAGCCACCCCTCTGTTACCAGGCAGGGTCTCTAAAGATGGCCTGGGGCAGTGATTGGTTCACTGGGTTGCTGGGGTAAAAGTTATGTTGCAATTTTGGTGGGAGGGGTAAAATGTTTAAATACTCTGCACACAGCCTGGAGATTTCTCTTTGGTTGCTGCAGAAAGGGAATTCCGTTAAAGGAATCCTGGGGCTTGCCATCTTTTCGTCCAATCCCTGGAATGGGACTAGGGCCGGCAAGCCTTCGGGGAGCAGGCGGGTGAGAGGTGAGGGTCTGTGACTCAGCTCCATTTCTCCCCGACTTGCTTTCCCCCGCACTGTCTTTCGGTGGTGCCCGGAAGTCAGTTCTGTCCCCAGGCGGGGGGACAGATAGTCTTAACCAATGCCTAAACAACCACTCACGGTTTTATATTTAAATAAAGTTGTGGCCAAAATTATGCCAAAAACCTTAAACAAAAATTAAGTGTGCGTTGTGAGTTATTTGGGGGGTGGCTTGGGGACCTCGACACGCAAGGAGATGCCAGAGGAACGTTTAGGGGACTAGCCCCGTCCCCCTGGTCCAATGACCACACAGTACTGCTTTAAGTGCGAGCTTTGGTGCCCTGAGTGAGGACAAAATTTACCTCCTCCCCAATAGTTTTTATTTCCACAATAATTCCTTTTGTTACAGTTGCTTTTTAAATGGATCTTCTCAGTTGGTACCCATATAAGTATAAATATAGATTGTTGTTGTTGTTCCCCTCAGCTTTGAACCCTGTGCAGGAGAACTGCCCACAACGCCCTAAATCCGGCACTGCTGTAATCCTTGGATGAAGAGCAGCATATAAATTTATATAGGGACGTGGGTGGCGCTGTGGTCTAAACCACTGAGCCTCTTCGGCTTGCCGTTCGGAAGGTTGGCGGTTTGAATCCCTGCAATGGGGTGAGCTCCCGTTGCTCTGTCCCAGCTCCTGCCAACCTAGCAGTTCGAAAGCACACCAGTGCAAGTAGATAAATAGGTACCGCTGCAGTGGGAAGGTAACCGGCATTTCCATGCGCTCTGGTTTCCATCACGGTGTCCCATTGCACTCAGTGGGGTTTAGTCATGCTGGCCACATGACCTGGAAAGCTGTCTGTGGGAAAACGCCGGCTCCCTCAGCCTGAAAGCAAGATGAGTGCTACAACCCCATAGTCGCCTTTGACTGGACTTAACCGTCCAGGGGTCCTTTACCTTTACATTTTTTAAAAAAATAATATAATATAATTTATATAATTATATAATTATATTTGTTGTTGTTTAGTTGTTTAGTCTTTTAGTCGTGTCCGACTCTTCGTGACCCCATGGACCAGAGCACACCAGGCACTCCTGTCTTCCACTGCCTCCCGCAGTTTGGTCAAACTCATGCTTGTAGCTTCGAGAACACTATCAAGCCATCTCGTCCTCTGTCGTCCCCTTCTCCTTGTGCCCTCCATCTTTCCCAGCATCAGGGTCTTTTCCAGGGAGTCTTCTCTTCTCATGAGGTGGCCAAAGTATTGGAGCCTCAGCTTCAGGATCTGTCCTTCCAGTGAGCACTCAGGGCTGATTTCCTTAAGAATGGAAAACTCCATGGACAAAGACAACCGACATATAATTATATAATTAAACAAATATTAAATAAATAAATATATTAGTGTAAAGTGCATTAGATATTTTATATGCAAAAGTGCAGATAAAAATGTATTTAGAGAAATTTATTCAAAAACGCCGATGAACTTTCACGAGTTTTTTATTATTATTATTTGGACTCAGTGTTGCAAAATGGGGAGAAACGCCCATTTCAAAGGATGTTTGTGTATCATTTTGAAAAGTGTGACTTTGATATGTTCACATTTGAATGCCAGCCTATTCCTATCCATAGCGCAGCCGAGCGCTTTGAACAATGCAAACTCAGATGCTAAACCGGGTCATCGTTAATTTTGGCAACATCGCCATTCTGAAGAGAATCTGAATGAAAGGGGAGAGATTATTTTACAGAGTTCTCTAGGGTGGCAGCAGCATGAGACCAGAGCTGTTAAAAGGAATGACATGGTGCTGTGAAGAAAGAGAGAGAAGGAGACGTCTTTGCCAATCATTTGCCTGAGCCGACTACAGAACAGGGATTTAAATATCTGATGGCATCTTGGCCGAATCACAGTTTGAGCCAAGTTCCTGAGTTGAAATCACCACTCTGATTTGAATCTACTACACCTGGCTCTGTCTTCCACAAGACCTTTGCTGAGAAAGCTTCCCCATGGGACCATCCCTCCTCTCCATATCTGAAGGTTGCTGAGGAGTAAGTCCCCATGTGCTGGTCCAACTGCATCCTGCCAAAAGCAACACTCACAGCTTGGAGGCCAGCCCAGAAATGAGGCGGGTAGGACATTTGGCAGCAACTGTGCCCAGGGGAACGAGGAGTAGATCTCAAAGTCATCCGTTATCAATGATGAATCTAAAACTTTGGGGGCAGAACTTCCTCAGAGTTGAGGGGTACCATTACTTATGTCTGACGAAGCAACTAAGTGAGTTTTGGGAAGGTGGCAGCCAGTTGTTGTTTGTTTCCAAATACATAATTTGTACTTGGGTAATAAGTATACAGTGGTACCTCGGGTTACATACGCTTCAGGTTACACACTCCGCTAACACAGAAATAGTGCTTCAGGTTAAGAACTTTGCTTCAGGATAAGAACAGAAATCGGGGTCTGGTGGCGCGGCGGCAGCAGGAGGCCCCATTAGCTAAAGTGGTACCTCAGGTTAAGAACAGTTTCAGGTTAAGAATGGATCTCCGGAACGCATTAAGTACTTAACCCAAGGTACTCGTTTGGTAGCATTTTGTGTGTGAGTGGGCAGGCACTTGCTCAGAGAGAGATGTTTGTTTGTGTATGTGTGTTTGTGTATGTGTCCCAGGTTTCTCAGATGGGGGCATTACCTAGAAAGGTAACCAGAAATAAGGCAACATCTACACACCTGAACACAACCCTTAGTTCGAACACTTCACTATAGCAATGGCAGCGTGTGTCTTTTGGATGAAATGTAATAACAAAACAGGCTATCCTTAAGCATATACAGAGTGTTTTTCCTCAGGCAAGTGGAGACAGGCTCCATACACCTGTCGTTAGGGAGATGGATTTCCAGGTCAGAGTGTATCCTTTCAACGCAGGCTGCAGCTCTAGCTGACTCTGTCACTCATTTTTAAGACCTGGATAACAGATAATTACTTTTTAAAAATTTATTTAAAACATTTCTTACCCACACTTCACTGCACAGTAATTCCGGAACTATTTAAAAAAATAGTACACCTTTGGGCGCCAGGCAAAAACGTTCCTTTATAACCAGGCCTTTGGTTGATTTGATTTATACCCTATGCCCTTTTAAAAAATGGGGGGGGGAGTTATTGGGTTGTCGTTTTAATTTTTATTATGTATTTTGTGGTTTTATATCTTGATTTTATTTTGTGAACTGCCCTGGGTATAGGGCAGTATATAAATTCAATTAATAGTAATAATAATAATAATCTTTCTTCTGATCCACTAAATGTATTTATTTATTAAATTTAAAGGGTCTGAAAGGTAGGGAGTTGACAGCAGCATTCCTTCAACACAGTATCGACCACAATCACGTTCTATGTAATCTCTAGAGGAATTGAGCCAAAAGTTATATTTTTTTCTGATTAAAATGTTGAGATATTCACTCTCTCTCTCCCGCACACACTGGGAAAAGACTACATTGCAGCATTTTCTCCAATTTTTTTCCATTGCTATGTCTGTACATGGGGGCACGTATTGTTTTCTTTCCCACAGTGGCCTGGAACTGTACAGTGGTACCTCGGGTTACATACGCTTCAGGTTACATACGCTTCAGGTTACAGGCTCTGCTAACCCAGAAATATTACCTTGGGTTAAGAACTTGGCTTCAGGATGAGAACAGAAATTGTGCTCCGGCGATGCGGCGGCAGCAGGAGGCCCCATTAGCTAAAGTGGTACTTCAGATTAAGAACAGTTTCTTTCTTTTTCCCCCAACTTAAATTTTTATTAGTATGTTTGTTTGATGAAAACTAATAAAACAGGTTGAGAACAGTTTCAGGTTAAGAACGGACCTCCGGAATGGCATGGAAGGGAAAGCAATTCAGTGCTCTGGTTATGGCACATGCTATTTGTCCTGCAGTAAGGTGTTTCCTGCTTGGCAGGGGGTTGGACTCGATGGCCCTTGTGGTCTATTCCAACTCTATGATTCTATGATTCTATGAATAAATTAAGTACGTAACCAGAGGTACCACTGTATAAGGTCAAGGGCAGCATGGAGGATGCAAAATGGCGGCCATTTTTTTGCTACAGCTCCTACTGGTGCCACTTGCAGTGGCAGCAGTAACAAACAAACAAACAAACAACCCATTCCAAAACCTTTCTGAAACAAGAAAGCTGCTCCACTGGAACTAAAACTTGGGGGGAAAACACTTCTCTCCATGGAAAAACTCTGCGAAATAGTTCCCACCAATTTGTGTGCTCGCAGATGAAGAGGAGAATATTGCGAGGCCGTTCTGTGCACAACTTCAGCCATGAAATTGCCTGTGTGAGCTCTGTCAGGCTCAAGGAGCAGGGCTGCTGCTGCTGCATTTGGAGAGGCGAAGAAAACAAAAGAAATAAAATGCAATTTTGAAGGATGGGAGCCCAATTGCATGACAGAGATGACCGCCTTTGCCCGAGTGGTGAATTTCTTTTTTTTTAATAAGACCAAACCCAGCCCATCCCAAAGATGTGAATTCCACATTTATTCAGTAGGTGGCAGTTAGAAGCTTAGATCAGATTTGCAGGCGCCATTTAGGTACTAATAGCAGCTGATGCAGCAGCCGGAGCCAGAGCTGCTCTGTCACAGAGAGGAGAGGGAGTAACTGGAGGGACACAAGCATTAACCACGGCCCAGGCACCCGGAGAGGAAGAGAGGGAGCTGGCATCTCAGTGACTAAAGCACAAGAAACGCCAGGAGCACCAAAGAACAGCCACCAATTGGACATAAAGCGGAAGAGGGAAGGAGGAGGGATACAGATTGGGAGAACTAAAAAACAGCGAGCTCCCAGCCTCAGCAGAAAGCCTCTACCTCAGCTACTATGACAGGCAAAAACTGAAGCATATTTATCAGACTTCTTCTTCTCAGGTAAGTCTCCTCATTTTTTATTTTTTAGTAAACTCTCTCTAGAATGTTGCATAATGAGCAGGATGCACATTACAAGACTGGCTGAAGGCTACAATTTTCACCCGAATGAAATGTGAGGAATGTTTTGACCCATCTGCCTGCTGGAAAAGGGGTGGAAGTAATACAAGATTATTTTCTTTAAAAACAAAAACCAGAGGGGAAACTTAGTGAATGGAAACATTTCGAAATGCAAAAGGGAGGAATCCTAGTGAGGGAGAAGTTCATAGCTCCGCATCGTTCAAAATGTGCAGGTGATACATTTCGGGGTTAGATTCTCGTGGACCTTTTCTGTTTCTGAAAAAAGAGAGAGAGAGCCCTGGCAAATGGATCTGAATATTTTCGAAGCCAAAGAGTAAGGCAGTGCAGGTTGGTAAGTTTTAAACAAATAGTCCCTGAGATGTTTTGAACAGAGATGGGTTGGTTTGCCTGCTTTGAACAGCTTGATCAATCATTAGCCCCTAAAGAAATCAAAACAAAGAACTGTTTAAGAAAATCAGTTATTTTATCTAGATTTCCTTCATTATCTTAAAGCAAAATACGTTAAGGTGTGAAGATTCACACAGTGTTTTCTTTGTACTTTTGCATGCCTATGTAGTTATTTTTAATAGGAATGCACATGCTTATGCAAATGTGCATTTATGCTTGTTTCCCATATAACCATATAGTTTGCAAGGTTGGGGTTTTTTTTGGAATTAAGCTTGCTTTATTTTATTTTTAAAGAATAGAATCATAGACTTGTAGGGTTTGAAGGAACCCTGTGGGTCATCTAGTCTAACCCCCTGCAATGCAGGCTTCTCTGAATTCAAAGATACTTAGTCCCAAGTTTGTACAGAATTGCAGCCAAAATTTAGTTATGTGCGTGGAGTATGGATTCCTGGTGTTGTACAGGGGCCATGTTATAGCCCTATAAAACATATGAAAAAATGTTCCCACTGGAAGTATTGCAGTTCTAGAGAGTGCTTCACCATTATCCAGCTGAATTTAGCACACACTGGCACCTTTTCTTGTAACATTTAGCCCCACACAAGTTGTGAATAATTATTAAATAGATTTGCCCGGAAAGCTGTGCTTGTTGTGGTTCAAGAAACTGCAGCTGTAAGGCAAGTAAGGGAGAAATGAGAGAATGATGCACGGTTCATAGATTCCATAGATTTGGAGCCTTGGAAGGGACCCAGAGGGTCATCTAGTCCAACCCCTGCAATGCAGGGATCTTTTTGCCCAACGTGGGGCTCAAACCCATGATCTGGAGATCAAGAGCTGCATGCTCTACAAACTGAGCCACGGATGGTGTAGAGAAAGTGGCCAGAAATACTCCCCACCCCCTTTCATAATACCAGAAACCTGCGGTCATTCAATGAAGATAACTTCTGGAAGCTTAATGACCGATAAAAGGAAGTATTTATTTCCACAGTGCATCGTTAACCTATGAAATTACTTCCCACTGACATGGACAGCTTTAAAAAGGGGTTAGTCAATTTAATAGAAGTTAAGGCTAGTCTAAATGTCTCTAAATGGATACTAGACTAAATTCCAGCTACAGAATCCTAGCAATTTCCCTCATGTCCTGCTTAGTTGGCTTCCCGTGGGAATCTCCTTGACCATTGGGAAACAGGAATTAGATGGGCTGATCATTCTAGTGGGAATCCTCTTAGGTTCTTATGCTCATTTAAGAAAGGAAATCTTTCCCAGATTTTTTTTTTTAAATCCAGCCCATCCGAACTGAAACACAATTATCTGTGGACATTTAATCAGTCGGATTTCATCACCTGACACCGCAGATTTAGTCTGCAGAACTCCTCTAATTCCCATGACAGCCGTTGCTACTTCTTAATTGAAGGTGGAGTCAATATTTAGTTTTCAAATGAAGTCAGAAAAAAGAACAGGGAAAATTGGTTCACTCAATCGCCGTCAGATTAGTTAGAAAAACTTCCGAAATACAAGAGCATTCCAGCAATGGAATAGACTTGGGGTGGTTGTGACATCTTCTTTCATGGAAACTTTCACAAAAGCAATGTAAGTAAGGTGGGTCAGGCCAGCTGTGCTCAGAATATGACATTAGTGGCTTTCCTGTGTTGTGTATATCCAGCATTTGGCGCTGAGATGTATTTAAAAATGGGAGAACTCTTTCTTCTGGTATGTGGATCTTCTTGCAGGGTACTAGGCTGGAGAAGCCATGGGAGATCCATCCAACTTTGTGATTCTGTACACGTGAGGATGAAAGATCTTGGCGCACGTTTGGCCTTAGCAACATTTGAGTTCTTTCTGTGCACCACGTGCTCAGATACGTCATATTTTGTTGTTGGCATCTGCCTCAGGAGACAATGGAGGAGTGTGCCTTTGCGGGTGAAGTCAAGCCATTGGAGAGTTACAGCGCCTGCTGTGGCTGTAGAGACCGATAAGGTGTTAAAGGTTTCACAACTGCATTTATTGACAGAAGGTATTTAGCTCAGGGGTAAAGCGCTGTGGGTTAAACCACAGAGCCTAGGACTTGCCGATCAGAAGGTCGGCGGTTCGAATCCCCGCGACGGGGTGAGCTCCCGTTGCTCGGTCCCTGCTCCTGCCAACCTAGCAGTTCGAAAGCACGTCAAAGTGCAAGTAGATAAATAGTTACCACTCTGGCGGGAAGGTAAACGGCGTTCCCGTGCGCTGCTCTGGTTTGCCAGAAGTGGCTTAGTCATGCTGGCCACATGACCCGGAAGCTGTACGCCGGCTCCCTCAGCCAGTAAAGTGAGATGAGCGCCGCAACCCCAGAGTCGGCCACGACTGGACCTAATGGTCAGGGGTCCCTTTACCTTTACCTTAAAGCACCTGATCTGCATGGGGAACACCCCAGGCTCATTCCCTGGAACCCCCAGTTTAAATTATCAGGTAATAGGTGATGTGAAAGTCCTCTGTTGATGTTAGGATACTGTCAGCAGCTCCCGGCTGGTTGCCCAGGGACGTATAAAGACAAGGGAAAGTTTCTTACCGTCCATTTTTATTTCAAACTTTACAGAGAGAGGCTATAGACCCCAGCCTTTTGTATAACGGCATTGTCCTGAGTTAATCTCCACCCCCTTCTTTCCCACTCCCTCATTCGTCATCACCATCTCTTCTACGGGTGCTGCTATGTGCCCTCTGTCTTTGAGCTCTTTGCTCTCCTACTTTTTAGGCTCGCCAGGTTCTGGGAGATGTTGGGTCTAGAATGCTTTCTAGTGACAAAATGTCAGCCAGCTGCCGGTCCAGTTCTGCCTCCTCTTCTCCCATTATTTCTTTTTCTTTTTGCCTAATCTGCCTGTGAGCTGTGACCTCCCTCAAATCTCTGTTGCAAATCTATACAGTGGTACCTCGGGTTAAGTACTTAATTCGTTCAGGAGGTCCGTTCTTAACATGAAACTGTTCTTAACCTGAAGCACCATTTTAGCTAATGGGGCCTCCCGCTGGCGCTGCACTGCCGGAGCACGATTTCTGTTCTCATCCTGAAGCAAAGTTCTTAACCTGAAGCACTATTTCTGGGTTAGCAGAGTCTGTAACCTGAAGCGTATGTAACCTGAAGTGCCACTGTATTGTCTTCCTCTTCCTCCTCCCTGGAAGGGTCAGGATGGGGAGGCGGTCTCCGCCACTCCTCCTCCTCTGCTCAGTCCCTGACAGTTGAAGACTCTGGAGCCCACTGCATAAATGGGCAAACAATATGACCTGCTCTTAAACAGTTTCCTAGCTTCCTATTGCATCCCCCTCTCCAGCACTGGTAGGTCATAAGGTATGAAACCTGCTTTCCACTGGAAGTCCGTTTATTTTATTCTATTCCCTAAAGCATTTTTTTCCCCTCCTGGTTCAGGCAGGTGTGTTGCAGAAATATCATTTATGACATGTAATTTCCATTTCTGGAATTCTATTTGTTTTCTTTTAAACCATGCCTCAGAGAACACTCTATTTTTTTCCTGTGTGTTGCAAAAGAAAATAAAACCATGTCTATTTCCTGTACAATTCTTTATTGCACGGGTAGTGCTTGGACAACAGTTCATAATGCAAACCCACTATGGCCATTGAATTCAATGCAGAATTTCTTGATGGCATGAAAAATATGTGGGGCAGTTTGATAGGCAGTGCAAGATGCTGTGGTCTTGTTCCAGTGGTGAAATGAGTCGCAGTCACACTAATAGTGTCTACTTGGATGCCCAAACCATTTCCCTAGCTTCCAAAATACACATTTCAGCTAAAGATGCCCATTATAAAATCTATGGCAGTCAACTGAGTCACCAAGGCAATTTAAAATAATTTGGAAAAACAACTAGATACTTTCTAGCACCACAGTATAGTTTCCTCTGGTGCAAGGCTGACTGAAATTATTTTATTCTGATGGCTAGAAACAGTGAACGTTTCATCTAAATTGAGCCCTCCAACATATAATAATAAATTTAACCTGGAAACGAGAATGTCATAATTTAAACGAGGATACTGTTTTTCATTTACTTGCTGATACGCATCAGCCAGGAGCCAAGGAATATAAAGAGTTAGTGAAATGTGGAAAAAAAGGAAGCCAGATTCCATCTTCAACATTCCTTAACTGAGATGCTGTCAGCACATTCTGGAAACCCCGGTAATCCAATCGACGTTGCATTAAAGCAGCAGGGAGAGAGATTTTGTGTCAGAATGACTAGTGAATACTACAGAGCTAGCATCCTTCCCTCTTTTTAAGATGGATGTTCCATAAAGCTGCAGCATGGGTGAAAGCACATCAATTTCCAGGTTGCATAAGGTTCTTTCCACTAATGCTCAGCGGCTCTGACTGAAAATCAATGCTAGGCAGTAATGAGACTCGCCGAATCGCACGATTGTTTCTTTACTTTCCCCCTTTTGAATTGAACTTAAATCTTGTCACTGGAAAATGATGATAATTTCAGGGATTAAACCTCATAGCATCAGCCCTGTTCTGAATTCTTCAGGCGACTCCATTGCTATTAACAGGCACTAGCCAGGAC